GTGAAGTGTACAGTTATCATTCTGTCATAACCGCTGTGAAGTGTACAGTTACCATTGTGTGGTAACCATTGTGAAGTGCACAGTTACCATTGTGTATAGCCATTGTGAAGTGTACAGTTACCATTCTGTGTAACCACTGTGAACTGAACAGTTCCCATTGTGTGGTAACCATTGTGAAGTGTACAGTTTTCATCGTGTCATAACCATTGTGAAGTGTACAGTTCCCATTGTCTGGTTATCATTCTGAAGTGTACAGTTTCCATTGTGTGTAACCATTGTGAAGTGTACAGTTCCCATTGTGTGGTAACCATTGTGAAGTGTACAGTTACCATTGTGTGGTAACTGATGCGAAGTGTACAGTTCCCTTTGTGTAATAACCGCTGTGAAGTGTACAGTTCTCATTGTGTGGTAACTGTTATAATGTGTACAATTCCCATAGTGTGTAACCATTGTGAAGAGTACTTTTACCATTGTGTGGTAACCTCAGTGAAGTGTTCACTTACCATTTTGTGGTAACCACTGTGAAGTGTACAGTTCCCATTATGTGGTAACCATTGTGAAGGTTACAGTACCCATTGTGTGTTAACCGCTGCGAAGTGTACAGTTCCCATTGTGTGGTAACCATTGTGAAGTGTACAGTTACCATTGTGTGGTAACCATTGTGAAGTGTACAGTTCCCTCTGTGTGGTAACCACTGCGAAATGTACAGTTACCATTGTGTGGTATCCATTGTGAAGTCTACAGTTACCATTTTGTGGTAACCGCTGTGAAGTCTACAGTTATTATTGTGTGGTAACAACTTGAAGTGTACAGTTACCTTTGTGTGTAACCATTGTGAAGTGTACAGTTTTCATTATGTGGTAACCGCTCTGAAGTGTATAGTTTTTATTGTGTGTAAAAATTGGGAAGTGTACAGTTAGTATTGTGTGGTAAGTATTGTGAAGTGTACAGTTTCCATTGTGTGGTAACCGCTGCCAGGTGTTCACTTTTCATACTGCGGTAACCATTGCGAAGTGTACATTTTTCATTGTGTGGTAACCATTGTGAAGTGTACAGTTTCTATTGTGTGGTAAGCACTGCAAAGTGTACAGTTACCATTGTATGGTAACCATTGCGAAGTGTTCAGTTACCATTGTGTGGTAACCGTTGTGAAGTGTACAGTTATTATTGTGTGGTTACCATTTTAAGTGTACAGTTCCAATTGTGTGGTAACCATTTTGAAGTGTACAGTGACCATTGTGTGGTAACCATTGTGAAGTGTACAGTTACCATTGTGTAGAACCCGCTGTGAGGTGTAAAAATGCCACTGTGTGGTGACCATTGTGAAGTGTACAGTTACCATGGTGTATAACCATTGTGAACTGTACAGTTACCATTGTGTGTAACCATTGTGAGGTGTACAGTTCACATTGTGTGGTAACCATTGTGAACTGTACAGTTCCCATTGTGTTTTAACCATTGTAAAGTGTACAGTTTTCATTGTGTGGTAACCATTGTGAAATGTACAATTCCCATTGTGTGTAACAATTGGGAATTGTACAGTTCCCATTGTGTGGTAACCATTGTGAACTGTACAGTTTCCATTGTGTGTACCCATTTTGAAGTGTACAGTTCCCATTGTGTGGTAACCGCTGCCAGGTGTATAGTTCCCATTGTGTGTAACCATTGTGAAGTGTAGCCTTCCCATTGTGTGGTAACCATTGTGAAGTGTACAGGTCCCATTGTGTGGTAATCATTCTGAAGTGTAGACTTCCCATTGTGTGGTAACAATTGTGAGGTGTACAGTTCCCATTGTATGTAACCATTGTGAAGTGTAAATTTCCCATTGTGTGGTAACCATTGTGAAGTGTATAGTTATTATTGTGTGGTAACGATTGTGAAGTGTACAATTTCCATTGTGTTTTAACCATTGTAAAGTGTACAGTTCCCATTGTGTGGTAACCGCTGTGAAGTGTACAGTTCCCATTGTGTGGTAATCGCTGCGAAGTGAACAGTTCCCATTTTGTGGTAACCAAATCAAAGTGTATAGTTCCAATTGTGTGGTAACCGCTGTGAAGTGTACAGTTACCATCGTGTGGTAACCGCTACGAAGTGTACAGTTCTTATTGTGTGGTAACCAATGTGAAGTGTACAGTTCTTATTGTGTGGTAACCATTGCGAAGTGTACACTTAACATTGTGTGGTAACCATTGAGAGGTGTACAGTTCTTATTGTTTTGTAACCAGTGTGAAGTGTACAATTTCCATTGTGTGGTTACCACTGTGAAGTGTACAGTTCCCATATTGTGGTAACCATTGCGAAGGGTACAGTTCCCATTGTGTGGTAACCCTTGCGCAGTGTACAGTTACCACTGTGTGGTAACCATTGTGAAGAGTACAGTTACCATTGTGTGGTAACCATTTTGAAGTCTACAGTTCCCGTTGCATGGTAACCATTGTTTAGTGTACATTTACCATTGTGTTTAACCATTAGAAAATATATAGTTACCATTGTGTGTAACCATTGCGAAGTGTACAGTTACCATTCTGTAATGACCATTGTAAAGTGTACAGTTCCTATTGTGTGTTAACCATTGTAAAGTGTACATTACTGGGTCAGAGAAAGGCTCATTAAATTCTGGGACTGGTAACAGTGAGAAGTTGTAAACATTGCTGGGAGGGAAGCAAACACCTTTCCTCTCTAGTTGTTGCCAAAGATCCTAACCCCCTTTATGACTTTTCCTGTAGGATTATATGATTTCTCCTGTTTCCTGGGGACTTGGTAGGTATAAATGAGATTTTTTTCCTGTATCTACCCAGAGGGCAGCAGGCTTAGAGACACTGACTCAGAAGGAAATCTGTATGTGTGTGCAGAGGGAAGTGTAAGTGAGGAAAATCCTGCAGAAAGATAATGGGAAAGGGGAAGAGAAACGTTCTGGAGTTCAGTGTGGAATCTTGGGGCTGCCCTGGATGCTTCCTGAGTATCAGCAGGAGTGCGCTGAGTAGACACTGGCCCCAGGACCATGCTGGGGCCCTCCAACAGGAGAGGAAGGCAAGGTCTTGGCCCTCAGACAACTTGCCTGTGTTTGATTAAGAGAGCCAGCGGCCTGAACAGCCTGAACCCAGGAGGCAGAGGTTGTGGTGAGCCGAGATCGCACCATTGCACTCCAGCCTGGGTAACAAGAGTGAAACTCTGTCTCAAAAAATAAAAATAAAAAAGACAGCGAGTGAAGAGCTCTGCCATGGACCCTAGTGACCCAACAATGTGGTGTTGGTGGTAAAAGACAGACACAGTGACCCATGAGACTGACCTGTCACAGAGGCTAGAGAGCAGCAGATTAGAGAGATCCCGAACAACCTGCCATGACATCCACATGGCAAAAGTGAGTGAGCTCCGCCACCAGTGGGCACAGGGAAACCCCCACCTCTCCCCAGAGAAGGCCCTGTCTTATATCCTGGCAAAAGGAATGCTGACATCATGAAGATTCCATAGAAAACCAGGAAGACTGAGTTAGGAGCTTCCAAATGGCTGAACACGTGAGGTTCCTGAAGGGTGGCGCCCAGGAAAGGCAGGGAAGCTCTGCACCCCTCTCCTGTGCCTCACTCCATGTACCTCTTCATCTGTATTTCTCAGAGTTTCTCTGAGTTCTCTGAGCCACTCCATCAAATTTATCGAACCCAAAGAGGGAGTCCTGGGTGCCCCAAATTGAAACTGGTTGGTCAGAAATTCTGGAGGTCCCGACTTACAAGTGGTGTCTTGGGGTGGGTGAGAGGGCATTCTTGGGACTGAGCCCCCAAACTGTGGGATCTGACACTCTCTCCAGGTAGGCAGTGTTGGAGTGGAATTGGAGGACACCCAGCTGGTGTCTGCCACTTGTGTGTATAGGAAAACCCCACACCTTTGATCACGGACATCTTCTGTGTTGATGATTGTTGTTGTACTGGTGTGAAAGTAGAGGAGAAACTCAGTTTGAGAGGTTCTTCCAAAACAGGGACCCAAAAGGGAAAAACACGGAAGAGGCAAGTGCCATGCCTGGGACAGATGTCAGCACCAAGAGGCTTGGATCTGAGTCTAGATCTGCTGTTGACCGGCTTGTGACACTGAGCAAGTTAATTTCTCCCTTGGAGATTTGGTTTATTCGCCAGTAAAATACAACAAAATTAGATCCAGTGACCCCCAGACCCCACCCAGATCCCTCAGGCTTTGAGAGTGAGAGAAGAAGTTAACACCCCAGGCACAGTGGCTCACGCCTGTAATCCCACCACTTTGGGAGACCAAGGCAGGTGGATCACCTGAAGTCAGGAGTTTGAGACCAGCCTGGCCAACATGGTGAAAACCCCGTTCCTACTAAAAATACAAAAATTAGCTGGGCATGGTGGTGCATGCCTGTAGTCCCAGCAACTTGGGAGGCTAAGGTAGGAGTATTGCATGAACCCAGGGGGCAGAGGTTGCCATGAGCCAAGATCACACCACTGCACTCCAGCCTGGGTGACAGAGCGAGACTTGGTCTAAAAAGAAAAAGGTTATCACCCCGAGTCAACCTAGAGGCAAGGAGGGAGGCCTAGCCCAGCGGGAAAGAGCATTACCCCTGGAGAGCTCCACTGGCTTCAGGTGACATCAAAGTAAAGTCAAGAGATTTCACCTTAAAGACATATAAGCCGGCCTGGACCAGAGGTCTGTAAATCCCTCCCAGGAGAAATCTAACACTCTGGAGTTGGTTTTGAGCCAGGGAAACTCTAAATAGCAGTTTCAACTGAGCTCAGAAAACAAGCCTGGATGCTCTTCCTCCTCAGGTCCACCCGAGATGAGCACTCACACCTTCTCTCTTGGGCAACTCCACTCTCTCCGCTCACTGCTCTTCACCGGTTTCCATGTGCCTCTTCTCCATCTCCATGGATGTGTGGCTGTGCCAGGGCCACTTGAAGCCAGAGTCCAGCCCAGGCAGCAGACACCACGGATATAGGGCCTGGGTGACCAGGCGAGGGTCCAGCACACAGACGTCAGGATCTGTGGGATTCAGCAAATAGAAAACAAATAGGTCAGAAACAGAGGGACCAAAATCAGCTTGTCAAATCAGAGATGTAAGCTTCCAGATGTTTCCAGAAGGAAATAGCAAACTGCGGCTGGTGGGCCAAATCCAGTCCATTGCACACTTTGCAAACAGAATTTTATTGGAAAACAGTCACACCCATACATTCGTGTATTGTCTGTGGCTGCTTTTGTGCTAAAACAGCTGAACAGAGTAGCTGCAACAGGGACCATAAGGCTCATAAAGCCCAAATGATTTACTGCCTGGCTCTTTACAGCAAAGCTTGCTGACTGGTGGTTTGAGTGTAATCCAGCATGTGTAAGTAGCTGACCTGCTTTATATAGAGTGGTGGATTCTCCCTGTCTCTCTCCTTCACCCCCAGGCAGAGCTTCCTTCAGGAGGCTGGCACTCTGCTCACGGCAAGTCCAGGCAAAGCAGCAGTCCCAGGTCTCCTTCCTACTCCCACCCTGTCTCCAGGAATGGAGAGAATGTCCTGCTTCCTCCCAGATCCACTGGAGGCCAGGAAAGTGATGGCAAAGGAGAAAGCCACAGGCCTCTGCAGGAGGAAGGATCCCTGGTGCAGCTCTCCCCTGCTCTGTGGATAGGGCTGTAGCTACCCCGCTGTGGAAGAATTGACCCTTTCCTTTTCTCCATCACTCCCATTGTGCCTGCTATTACCCAGGCCTGGCCAGAAGAGTACTTCCATGTCCATGGAGCCTCATATTAGAAGTCACCACAGTCTCAGGCATGCCCCTTCCCCAAGACAGGACTTTGTTAACCCATCGTCTTATTTGATCAACATAGGGACTTGAATGATTAAAGAAGCCACATTGATCACGTCCTTGCTGAATGGCTGCTGAGCACGTACCATGTATGGCTGCTGTGCTCAGCTCTAGGGAAAGAAAGAGGTAAGACTTAGGCTCTGCCTCCAGGCCTGCTGCTCACAGTCCACCATCCTGCAGCCTCCTTAAATGTCCTGCTAATCCTCTGCAAGCAGGAGTGCCGGAAATCCCTGATCCCAGGACCATGCGATTTATTTAGGATTTTAATGTATAACTGTTGTAACTGATTATTTGTAAATTACAACTCTCGAATTGCCAAAAGACTTAAAAGTGGATAGCAAATCTGTTAAGAAAGTACATATATCTATTTATATATTTGCCTATTTTTAAAAGGAGTAGATACAGAATCAGCTGCATTGGTACAAATGTGTGTGAAGGTAGCCTCAGGTTTTGGGACATCCTCAGAGAAGATTTGTGGGGAGGAACCCCCATGAATGCTGCAGAGGCTGTGATGCGGCTCACGGGCCTGAATATTCCTGTCCATGAATGAGTCTGCTCACCTCGCCGGCTCCCATGCTGGCAGAGTGAGGGGCATAAGCCTCAATGGAGTAAGCGTTAGCACAGGCACACAGCAGAGGGGAAAGGGGAGAGATTGCTATGTGTTCGGCGGTGGAGATGCGGTCAGGATGCGGAGGCTGTTGTCCAGCCTGAGCTATGAATGTTGACTTTTTTTTTTGCAGAAGTAAAAACCTGACGACAGCCTTCTGATCCTCTCCAGAAAGGTACAGGAGGTGAGATCTGGATATCCGGAGATTCATCCAGGGAGTGAAGATGAGCCCAGCAAGGTGTGAGAAATTTCTCTTGCTTAGGGAGCTCTGCTTTCTGGCCCGGCCCTGATTGTAACTTATGGAATTTTTCTTTCATAAGAAGAGAAGTCACTGAACTGAAATGTCTGTTTTTGCTTGCAAATCTCTGTGAGAATTCTCCAAGGTCTCTTTCCCTTTCTTTGCCCTCTGGGAGCACGGATCAAGTTCACTCTAGAAGAATCTCTTTGAAACCCTCCCTTGAGCAGGTTGACCAGTTGTTTCATTAGAAATATACCAATAGCAGCAAAACACAATATTTGGATTAGATCTGATGTGATTATTTATTCCAGGAACAAGTCGTGTTTATGATTCCAATCATTTGAATAATGGATTGACATCATTTCTAGCTAAATGGAGATTATCTGGCCATTTGCCAAAGCTAAGCCTCAGCTCCGGGGAGGAACACCTGGACCCGGCTGAAAGTGCATGAGCTTCCAGATGGAAACAGACTCTCTGTGTCTGCACAAGACAAACTCTCTTTACCCCTGCTTTTCCTCTGCCCTCACACCAGAAGAACAATCATCACTGCACAGGAACATTTCTGTGACCCCAACTTGAAGCTGGCAGACCTGCTTCAAGTTGGGGTTCCCACGACTCCCTCTTTGGTTTTGATTCATTTGCTGGAGTGGCTCACAGAACTCAGGGAAACACTTATATTACCAGTTTATTATAAAGGTTATCACAAAGGATACTGATGGAGACACACATGGAGTGAGGTGTGGGGAAGAGGGTGTGGAGCCTCCCTGCCCTTCCAGGAACCTCGAGCCTCTCCTAACTCAATCCTCTTGGGTTTTTATGAAAGCTTCCCATTGTCAGTGTTCCTTCCCTCAGGGTGTATAGGATGGAGTTCTCTCAGGGGAGGATCTTAAGACCCACAATCAGAAAGGCAGGTAAGAGTGAATTCTGCCTTGGGGCAGGTGAAAGGAGGGCAGGAGAGAGGTTCTGTTTCCTGAGGCTTAACATAGCTGCCAAGAGACGTGGATCAGGAACAGTGGGTGAAAACCCGTGTAGATAGAGGTTAGATAGAGGATGCAGATGCAGACGCAGACGCAGGTGCAGATATTATAGCATCACAGGCTCAAAGAGTTCCTGTGCACTCTCAACCAGAGGGTCCCCTCCTGACTCCCTCATTCCTCCACACTTTGCCTGGCTTGGGACTCAAGCCTTCATTCACAGCTGAGGCCTCAGCTCCTCTCTGAGCTCTTCCTGGCCTCTCACAGACAGAGAGATAGGCACACTCTTCTGGACTGGACTGGCCCTTGTCCAAGTCCCCATTAGAGCCTGTAGGTGATTTCTCTCACCAGACCGAGTGCCCCAAGGAGGCTGGGTCACATCTGTCTTCACATCTTCAACGGGGATATTAGTCAATCAGAAACAAAAGATTTGAGCCCCAGCTGGCAGATGCCTCTTGCATCTGTGATCACGGGGCTGGGGTTCTTTGCAGGGAAGCCTCCTGGAGCAGGATGGCTGGCAGATCCCTGGGGATGCATCCCAGGCAGAGCCCAGTAGGGTACACAAGACAGAATCAGGGAAGGCTACAGTGTGGGAATGGCTTTCCCCTAGGCATGCACCCTCTTCTATCCTCTCCGCCACTCCATATCATTGCACCTTATCTCTCTGCACCCCAGATCCCAACAGAGTAAGAATCTGCACCTGAGACCTGGAGCTACTGCTTCCAGATCCCAACAGAAGGACTAACTCAGAATCTCAACAACTGTCAGAGCCAGAAGGGCCTGAAAGATCACCTGGTCCGGGGCTTCCTGCTGTGCTCGGCAGGGTGAGGTGGGATGGGACCCTCGGGGTGGGGTGGAGGCGCCCCTTGAGTCACCTGGTATGTACTTTTGAGGGAGGTTCTCAATCCAAGGTCTCTGGGCCACTTCAACCTCTCCCCTTTTCAGAGCAGTTTTACTTTTGATTTGATCTGTAATAGCTATAAAGTTGCCTTCTACATGAAACGTCTTTTTAAAAAGTTGTTAGAGATAAATAAAACAAGATGAAAAACCTTGGGGACTAGAATAAGGCAGTGATTTGTCCAAGGTCATAGGATGAGTAAACATCACATCCAGGACTAAACTTAGTAATTTCAGCCCACCGGACCCTGCCCTGTCCCATCATCCACTCTCTGGTAGCAAAAACACACTATTTCCAAACCCATTCACACTTCCCAACTCTGGTCAAAGCTCAGCTTCTAAGAAAACACCCAGAGGCATAAGCAGATGGTGACACTTGTCTCCATGTTTAAGTGGAGCTGACGCTACAGATGAGTCCTCTGCATCCAAACACGTGACCACTTAGCCACACTGCTGCTCAAGACCCGAGACATTCTCAACTGTTGGCCAGAGGGAGAACGAGCCAGTGATCTGGATGGGCCCATCTGGAGTGACGAAGGGGAAGGCAGTTACCTGGGGAGTCAAGGCCCTGAACATCACTTGGCTCCCATCTACCCCTGGCCATCACCTTCTGGTGGGACACAGAGCCCCCAGTGCCATGGTCCAGTGGGAAATCCATCAGAGCTGTACAGGCAGAGCTGGGCTGATGGCCAGGGTGTGGCTCCCACTCTCCTAGAAGGGGCCCAGTGTCTGTGCAGTGGGACAGCAGAAGGAGCTCCTGCTGGTATAAGCATCCAAGGATTACGAAAGGAGAGAGCAGGAAGGGAAGGGAAACTCAAAATCAAATGCAGCCTGAAACCTGGCATCTAGTGACCATGGTGTTATGATTCCATAGAACTTGACTAGCAGCTGCAGGAGCCAGCTGTCCCCAGGAACACAGTCAGCGGGGTTTCAGACTTCTAACCAAGACCAATACATCCTGTGAATAGATGAGCCAGGCCCAACATCATGATGCAGATAGTAATCTTATCTTTACTTTACAGATAGAGAAACTGAGGCCTAAAAATGTGGGCAGAGTCACACAGATAGAGCAAACCCAGTTGATGGTCCTTGGGAACGCAGAGAGACGGAACAGAGAACCTGCCACCATGTCACCATCTACTCAATAAAGGGGAACCTTCTGGTGATAAGGATTGGGAACAGGAGGCTGTTGGGTCAGAATTTTTAGCCAGGGAACTGTGATAGGTACTAGATTGGAAACTGTCCCATCCTACAAAATGGCTTTCAAACTGTCCCATCTTACAAAATGGCTTTCAACACAGATTCACTCCTTCCGTAGAGTTCCTGGCCACCCACAGTCAATGCCAGGTACTCTCCTAGAAATCAGCTGCAAGGGGCTGAGCACATCTGCCATGGTCCATGCATTCACAGAGGAAAGTCTGGAAGCCTGTCCTGTGCCTCACACCAGCAACACTTGTGGAACAGACCTCCAGCCCCCGTGTCACTCATGCCCAGAGTCTCAACTGTGTATCATGATTTGATTTGACTCCCACATCTCAATTCCCCCTGAATCCTCTTGCACCCAGACTCCTCTGAGCTTAGTTTGCCTGTACATCCCTCTGTGACTCAATAGACCTGAGGCTCTGCCCCACTTCCCTGGGCCACCCTGACCAGCAGCTGATGGCGAACATGCAGCCTGGCCCAGACCCGCCCAGCTTGCTCCCTATAGGAAGTGCTTTTTGATGTTAGCTGCAGCAGGACCCACACCCCATCCACGTGGGGCTGGCTGATAAAGAAAGGTTGTCAAATAGCCAATCTACTCAGACCCTAGGAGGGACTGAGCTGTTAATATCACTGACCAGTTGTATTCATTCAATCATTCATTCATTCATTCATTCAGCAACAAATATTGGTTAAAGGATCACTATGAGCTAGGCACTGTTCTAGGTGCTTATACATCTCCGAGTAAAATAAACAAAGATCTCTGCCATGCAGAGTTTCAACCTAGGGAAAAGAGAAAAGGAAACAATAAACATAATAAATACACACAAACATGAGTAAACAGTGATAAGTACTGTTGAAAAAAAAGAAAAAGTAATGCAGGATAAGGAGCATAGGGGGCGCTATGAATGGGGTGGTCAGGGCAGAGCTCATGAACAGGGAATTGAGTAAACATCTGAAGAAGGTGAGGGCGAGTCCAAGGTACCTGCAGAAAAGTGTTCCAGGCAGGGGGAGCCCGAGGAGCAGAGGCCCTCAGCCTGTTTGCAGAGGATGGGCGGTCAGTGTGGTGGTGTGAGTATGGGGGGCAAGGCAGGAGTGAGGGTAACCAAGAGCCAGCTTTCCATGTAAGACCCAGTAACCTATGGCTCATATTCCATTCTTTTACCCTGGGGCCATCGGAGCCATCAGAAGGTTTTGACCTGTGAAGTGACAGGACATAAAAGTCATTGCCCTATAGGATGCAAGGATGAATAATGACGGTGGCCTGGGCCAGGCAGGGAGCAGTGGAAATGCTGAGAAATTGATTAACATCTGGACTTATTTTGAAGGTACAGCCAGTAGAATTCCCTAGTAGATTGATATATTAAAGAAGAGGAGGAGTCAATGGTAACTTTCAGATTTTTGGCCTGTAAAATCAAATAATTCCAACTTAAAGCCATTGGAAGTTATTCTGAGCCTTGAACCCCGCAGCATGAAGCTGCAACTTCTACTTTTTCTTGTAAATGATTAGAGAGGATCTTGTGGCACCAGAGATGAGATCCCCTCAGATCATCACCGCTCCTCACAGAATGTTAAAGCAACCTTCCTCGGAATGTGGCAGGCTGTAACCGATCAAAGTGCTATGACATTGTACTGATCTTGCCTGGAAGCTGTTGCAACCTTGTTCAACCTCTCTGTCCCTGCCTGTGTAAGTGAAACCGTAACTTTGCTTTGGAATGCTGACCCATTCCCTTGGAGTCTGTGTGTCCCATATGACTATCCTTAAGATTTGTGCCCTAATAAACTCTATAGTTCATCCTATTTTCTGAATCTCATTATTTAAGGTTGACAGGCCAGAGAGATGGGAAAGGCGGCCAGTAGCACAAGATTGAAATGTAAAGACGATAGTGAAACTTTGTTCACGTGGCGTTTGCCACATTTGTTGACTACTGAAGGAAAACGTAAGAAGGCGATGAATATATGAGTGTGGGGTCTCACAAAGGGGTGTGAGGCCTGGAGATGGAGGTTGAGAGTCATCGATGTACAGACAGTCGTTAAAGCCACTCGATGCGTAAGACCATTCAGCAATAAGTGAGTGTATTGGCTCAGAGGAGAGGTCTACAAACTGCACCCTAGCAAAGGAGCCCTTGAGGGAGAGAGGAATGAGCTAAGAGGAGGAGCCAAAGAGCGTGCTGTCCTGGAAGCTAACTGGAAAGAAAAAAACTGCATCCTGGAGGAGACCATCGGCTGGGTCAAATGCTGCCGACAGGTGCCGGAAACTGAGAACTGACCCCTGATTTAACTATGCAGAGGCCACTGGTGACATGAAGAGCCATTTCAGCGGAACTGTGGAGGCGCGTGCCCCTGCCTGGGGAGGGCTCCAGTGGAAGGAAAGAAGATCTGCCGCAAAGAGAGGCAAACATTAGGAGGCAACTCTAGTAGAAGTGGGATCAAGACACATTTGTTTTTATTGTCCTTTTTATCTTTTTTTTCATTTTTTAATTTTTTATGATTATTTTTGTCAATCCTGCTCCTTCTCTACTTTTTTTTTTAAAAAAAAATGAGAAAAATAACAGCATGTTTGTTCCCAATTGAAATAATCTGGGGTAATCGTTTATGAGAGAGAGAGGGGAGCATTTCTGGAGCCCTGAGAGGGGTTCCTCACCACATGAGCATGGGTGTGCACAGGTGTGGGGACAGCTACTCCATGGTGACAGGCTGGAGGCCGCGAGGGACAGAAGTGGTGGCTGGAAGAGTCTTTGGAAGTTTCCTTCTAGTTGCTTCAATTTTCCCAGTGAAATAGGATGTGAGAGAAGTTTGGCCATGAGAGGAGAGAGGAAGACGTTCTTAGATATGTAGAAAAGCAGGAAAGTGCCTGGATCAGGCAAAGGCAGCATGATTGCCTGGAGATGGTGCATTGAAGTCCGGAGGTTGTGAATGTCAAACAGGACCAGTCCTCGTGGTGTGTGTTTCTCTCCCACATGGAGAAAAGGGCAGGAGCTTTTCACTGCTTGGGGCAGGGGCACCTGAGACTAGATTTCCTGAGACTCCTTGGGCCTTTGGATGTCAAACTTTTCATTGCTACCGCCAGGCATTTTAGGGGCCAAAAATAAAACAATAAAAATAACCAATGCTGTCACCTTGGACCTGACTAGCTTCTGAAATCCCCGTTAGTCATTCTCCTGGGTTGAAGCACTGGAAAGCAGCAGGCTTACAATGGAAGAAGCTATATTTGCATTCTTAGGCATAGCACCATGAGAAAAGGGGCCCTCTATTAGCATGACTCCACAGAAATGACTTCTTGGGAATGCCTGTGGAAGCAATATTTGGCAGGGCTCTTTGATCTGTACGTCAGCTGGGAGTAACTGGCTCATGCCCAGCCAGGAGCCCAAATCCCTGACTCCGGATGGAGTGCCTCTCTGCCAGTGCAGGGCAGCTGGTTTCCCTGCCTTTACAGTTGGCTTCCAGGCAAATTTCCTCCCAGCTGTCTTCTCCCACAAATGTCCATTTGTGTAACTGACATGAGTCATTTAGGTGATTTCTGCCTCTGATCTGAGAGGGCCTCTGTGGTCATCTGAGTTACATAGCTCCAAATTCCAGAAATAGAACCTCTCCTGTTAGACTTCTGTTCCTGTGCCCAGTGGGTCGTGATCAGGTGCAGGTGCCGGGCACTGTGACAGTGGCATGAGGGGGGCAGGCAGCAATAGTGAGGGGACTCTATTATCTTCATTGTTCAGCTGTTTATCTGCAAACTCATTGCCTTTGTGTGAGATTTCAAATCAGTATCATGAAATATAACACAAATTGACTTAAGACCTTAAAATACAAAACACAAAGAGTGAGAAAAGTACTCACCAAAATATTGTTTTAATGATAATTAGAGTTTCCTGATGTGCGACTTGTTTCTTTGCCTTTTCTAATGTCCGTTTGGCTAGAAGTGAAGAAAGGCGCAGAAGCAGCGACCCCTTAATTCTCTATCTCCACCGAAATGCGATAACTCTGTGTTTTTGTTTAGGAAGCATTTCTAGGAACATTTATCAGCAATCAGGAAGGAAGCAGCCCCCGGAACCCTGACGTCAGGACTCGGGGAAAATATCCTCAGGTCTGGATGAGAGCAGGCACCTGCAACCATGTGAGCTGGGCAGGGTGTGCTGACAGGAAATCTAAGCAGACCCTGTTCCTGACCCTCACTTTCCATCAACACAAAGGAATGACAGAAAAGCCATTGCCAGCTTTCCGAATTACTGAAAACAAGGCAATATCGAAATATTAACTACGTCACAGTGAAGAAAACAGTTGTATGGAAGGCTCTCCGCCTGTATCTACCTACATTCAAAAGTCGTTTCTTTCACCTCTCCCCATCACCCTGGAGTTCTAACGTTAAAGATGACTGGTCCATGGTAACGATCTATGAAAGGGTTAAAGCCTTATTTGTTTCAGTTTCTTTTCCTAAATAGAAAAGGCAATAAACATCACCAGTAATGTATCCTGAGCATACATTCTCTCTAATGCATTAACAAAAGCAATCAATATAAATGACCGTCGTCAAAGAACCCAATTCTGTGAACACGCCATTCAGGAGCTCCTTTTCCAGGCAAAACCTGTCACCATGTGGAACAGAGCGGCATTGCAGCTGCCTGTCCAAAAATCCCGCTTCCACTAGGACAAAGGGATGTTCTGAGCCAAAACACAAAGTCAAAACACAGTAAAGAGCTCTTCAAAACCATGATCAGCAGGGAGCCATTCCCAGTCTGCTTTCTCAGCTTCCACCATCAAAGGGATATCGAGAATTCACCGTTTATTTCAGTTGAAAAATCAAGTCCCAGCCTCAGCGTCCCCCTGCCCTAGATAATTGCTCTTGGTAAAAGAACCATAGATTATCAGAAGGGAAGTTACAGATTACCCGGTTCTTTTTTTTTTTACAAACAAAAGTAGAGGAGAAGCAACAGGTTCGCGGAGATATTTACCACTTCTTGTGCTGTGTTCACTCTCTCTGTAAGTAACAGACAAAGGAGGTAACATCTCCAGAGTCTCCAGTAGCAGGGTGGTAAGTTTCCTCTGCAGGGAGGCTCTACCACTGCTGGGATCACCTCCAATCCCCCTTTCAGATCATCTGGGAGTGGCACCATAGACAGGCCAGAGCTGTCTCTGCGGAGATGAGGGATGGGCCAGCTCAGTGGCCATGCAGGACAGAACCCAAGTCCCAGGTGAACAAGCAGAGGAAAAGTTTCTGGAAGAAAGCTGCAGGCAATGTGGGAGAGCCTTGCAGGGTCAGGGACCCTCGAGGGCTTCTGCACATGCCTCCTGCCCATCTGGCATGGTGGTCCACTTTTGGGGTGGCTGGCACTCTTCCTACAGTACAAAGAATCAGGTGGTGGCCAGCCTGAGACAGCCCTGGCGGGTGAGGATGAGATGAAAGAGACACAATACCACTCCTGGTTTCTCAGAGCACCCTCCATTTCCTCTCCTACAGTGCATGCCTGGGAGGATTGTACTTATCCGTTGCTTCCGTACTGGCCCTTGTAGATGATGAACTTCTTAAGGGAAGAAAGTGTATCTCTTCCATCTCTGCATCCTCAGAGCCTAACACAGACCCTGATAAATAGCAGGCACCTAATAAATGTTAAGTAAAAGAGGGGAAGAAAAAGAGGAAGGGAGGCCAAGACTAGAGTTATGACTGCTGCAGGAACGTTGCTGATGAGTGCAGCAGACCCTCAGGTGATTAATTTTAAAAAGTTTTGCCCCCAGACACATGCCAACAGTTCCCCCGCCAAGCTGCTTTCCCTGCCAATCAGCAAGGCAAAACCTCAGGACACTTTCTTTCCCCTGACATACGCCCCTGGTAGGCCAGGCTTTTGCGGTAATTTTGTTCTAATTTTTAACATTACTTTCTAAAAATTTCAAATCTACCAAAAAAATAGAATAGAAATTACTGACACACCTGTAATCTCAGCACTTTGTGAGGCTGAGGTGATAAGACAGCTTGAGGCCAGAAGTTTGAGACCAGCCTAGGTAACATGGCAAGACTATCGCTACAAAAAAGTACAAAAAGTAGCCAGGCATGATGGCATGCACTACTCGGGAGGCTGAGGTGAGAGGATAGCTTGAGCCTGGGAGGTCAAGGCTGCAGTGAGCTGAGATCATGCCAGTGCACTCCAGCACAGGCAATAGAGAGATCCTGCCTTAAAAACAAAACAAAAAATCCAAGACCATCAGCACCTCATTCATTGAAATCCACTCTTTTATTAGGATCAAGTTTATCCTGCCTGTATTTCTTCTTTGCAAAAATTAACAGATGTACACACATACACACACACACACACACACACACACACACACACACAATTTAGTTTCCCCATGTTTCTTACTCAAAAGGTAATAAAACATATGTAACTTTCACATTTGCTTCTTTCTGTTAATGATCTGTCTTGAAGATGACTCGGTTTTGGTTTGGAGAAATCTTCCTCATTCCTGCGATGGTGTCAACAGACTTCTGTTATATGGATAAGCCACAGTTGATTCAACCAGTCTCCTATGGATTGGCTTTTAGTTCATTTCCAACAGTTTGTCGTTACAGATAATACCAGCAATAAATAACTCTATGCATAGTATATTGTTTTAAATGTGTAATGAGTGAAGATACATTTTCAGAGAGAATTTCTAGAAATGGGGTTGCTGGTCAAAGTGTAAATGCATGTAGAACCTGTTTTTTTAATAAATATATACAAGAGATAAGGCTTACTTTGTATTTGATTTGATAATTTGACTTGGAATTTTTCTGTAGGAATAAAAGTGTTAGAACGATATTTTTAAATTTCACAAAATGTGTAGACAGTAACCAAGGCCTCAGAGCCATGGAGGGCTCTAAAACTAGTTCCATAAAGCATTTACTGTAAAAATACTTACAGATCTTTAACAGAAAAGTATATTTCTTTACAGTAGAAAAATATTTGAACTTTTTCATATTTTTTATTCCAAAATATACATATATGAAAATTTACGTAACTGATATGTAGAAGCTCTTCAAAACTGACGGTAAATTTAAAAGTTAAAATTGGCCTTGCCTCTACAGTTTGGAGCTGCAGATCAGCCGGCAATGGCTGCCGGTCTCGGCTGCTTTCTTGGTGCCTGAGCTGCAGAGTGGGCCTGTGTAGGGGCTGTTGTCCGGGTCACTCTCCCTCTGGCTGTTTGTGGCCTAGGTGCATGAGGCACTCAGTCTTGGCCTGGAAAGAATCCCACGCACTGGAAGAGCTAAAGGTGTGCAGTGTTGTGTCTGCTTGGAGACAGTGGAGCAGATCCGGGGCAGTCCTCGCCAGGCTGGCTTTAAAGCCCTTTTTTGGTTTAGGATTCGGCTTCATCGTGGTCACTTCCATTATCATCGTCATTCTCCTCATCTCCTTCCCTCTTTTCTTCTTTAAGCATTTTCAGGTATTTACCAGCTAAAATCTTCTTTGGTAATATATCTGTAAGAAACTGAAAAGTTTCTGATTCCTCTGCAGTGTTTGCTAAGTCACGGTAAGTCAGGACTTTCTTTTCCTTTCCACTGCCATGTCTGTAGGAATATTGAACTAGTGTAGCTAGATATTGAACAAGGAGCTCCGTGGCCTTGGCCGTGAGCACCAGCGCCTCCTGGTTGATGCTGGACACCTCGGGGCAGCTCTTCATGATGACCCGGATGCGGGACAAGGGCAGCAAGACGAGCCGCTGCTCCCCGCACTTGTCTTTGCCCACGACCACGTCCGCCATCTTCCCGCTCCGTGTGCCCGCAGTAGCCGGTGGGCCCGGCCGCGAAGTGGCTGTCCTGCCCCGCCAGCCGGCGGGTGCGAGGAATCTGTTTTTTGTTTTCCAATTTCCCATCCTACGACCTGTCCTATTTCACAGGCTCATCAGCCCTGTAGGACCGCGCCGATTTCCCCACAGCCTTGCCAAAGGTGAGCTGCGAAGCTTTTGTGTGTTTGCCAAATCCGTAAGTGAGAAATGATATCCCCACTCAGTTTTAATTTACATTCTTCTTTTTACAGTGAAGTTGTGTATCTTGTATAAGTCTAGAGGTCACCTTTATATGATTTTTGTGATCGAACTCTATTCATTATTTTGCTCCTTTTTCTATCTGGTTTCTTATATATTTTTTTTTCTTTTTCGTGTGTGTGTGTGTGAGAGAGAGGGGGGAGAGAGAGAGAGAGAGAGAGAGAGAGAGAGAGAGAGAGAGAGAGAGAGAGAGAGAGAGAGAGGAGAGAGAGGAGAGGAGAGAGAGAGAGAGAGAGAGAGAGAGAGAGAGAGAGAGAGAGAGAGAGAGAGAGAGAGAGAGAGACAGTTTCCTACTCTGTTGCCCAGGCTGGAGTGCAATGGTGCAACTGTTCCTCACTGCAGCCTGGAACTCCTGGACTCAAGCAGCTCTCCCATCTCAGCCTCTCTGGCAGCTGAGACTACAGGCATGTGCCACCACACCCCGCTAATTTTAGCATTTTTTTGTTGAAGTGGTGTCTTGCTATGTTGCCCGATCTGGTCTACTAGCCTCAAACGATCCTCCTGCCTCAACCTCCCAATGGGTTGGGATTACAGGCATGAGCCATCGTCCCTGTCCATATGATCGATTTTGAGCTAATTTCTGTAGACGGTGTAAGTAAGGGGTCCAGCTTTATTCTTTTGCATATGGATACCCAATTGCCCTACCCCCACTTGTTTAAAACACTGAATTATCTTAGCATCCTTGTCAAAACTCAATTGACTATAAATGTATGGATTTATTTCTGAGTCCTCAGTTATTTTCCACTAGTCTATGTCTATCTTTGTGCAAGTACTACACTATGAATTACTGTCTTTTTATTTAAGTTTAGAAATTTGGATGCGAATCTTCCAACTATGTTCATCTTTTTCAAAATTATTTTGGCTAGTCTGGGTTCCTTGCATAACCATATAAACACGAGGATCACCTCATCAATTTCTGCAAAGAAGCCAACGTGTTTTGAGAGGTATGTGTTGAATCTGTAGATCAATTTCAATAGATCAATTGCTGTCTTAGCAATATTAAGTTTTCCAATCCACGTACACAGGGTATCTTTTTATTTAATTGCTTTCAAGAACATTTTCTGACTTTCAATATACAAGGTTTAGACTTCTTTTGTAAATTTATTTCTAAGTATTTTATTCTTTTCAATGCAGTTGTAAATGAAACAGTTGTCTTAATTTCATCTTCAGACTCTTCACTGTTGGTGTATATAAATACAACTGCTTTTTATATGCTCATATTATTAGTTTTCTATTGCTGCTGTACAAATTATCACTAACTTGGGGCTTTAAATAATGCAAATTTATTATCTGACAGTTCTATAGGTCAAAGGTCCAAGATGGTCTCACTGTGGGCACAAGGGCTACATTCCTTTCTGGAGGCTATCAGGGAGAAACGTTTTATCTTTTTCAGTCTCTGGACACTTGGCTTGTGGTCATTTCCTCCATCCACATCAGGTCACACCTTGCCATGTTCCATCCCTCTGACTTCCTCCACTGCCTCCATCCTCCACTTGGAAGGATCCTCATCTCCACATTCAACCTCCTGATAATCCAAGGAAATCTCCCTATTTAAAATCACCTGATTAGCAACCTTAATTCCAATCTGCACCTTTAAATTCCCTTTGACATGTAATCTGACATATTCACAGATTCTGAGATTAAGTCAGGAACATCTCTGGGATTGGGGGAGCATCGTTCTGGCTATGCATCGACCTTGCATTCTGAAATACTGATGAACACATTTATTAGTGCTAATATTTTTTGTGCGTTCTTAGAAATTTTTGTACAAGATCATGTAACCTATATAATTTTACTTCTTTCTTTTCAGTCGGGTTAGATTGTATTTCTTCTTCTTGCCTAATAGCTTTGACTAGAACATTCATTACAATATTCAAAAGAGGTGATGAGAGAAGACATCCATCCTTGTCTTATTCCTGATCACAGGAGAAAAGCATTCTGACTCACCTTGAAGTATGATGTGAGATGTGGTTTTTATATAGATGGCCTTTATTTGCTTGTGAAAGTTCCCTTCTTTTCCTAATTTTTGAGTGTTTTCATCCAGAAAATTTGTGAATTTTGTGAAATAATTTTTCTATGTCTATTGAGATGATCACGTGGGATTTGTTCTTTATTCAGTATTGATCAATAGTTTTCTGTGATGTTTTTGTCTAGTTTCAGTTTTTGGATAATATTGGCCTCATAAAATGAGCTGAAAAGACGTCTCTCCTCTTTTATTTCTTGGAAGACTTTGTGAATGATTGGTGTCAATTTTTTTTTAAATGTTAGGTAAAATTCTTCAGTAATGCCCTGTGGACCTGGACTTTTCTTTGCAAGAAGTTTTTAAATTACTAATTCAGTCAGTTTACATGTTATATGTGTGTTTGATTTTTTATTCTTTTTTTGAGTTAGTGTTGCTCATTTTTGTATTTCTAGAAATTTTTTCATTTATGTCTGGATTATCTAATTTGTTGGCAACAATTGTTGAAACTATTTGCTTGTAATTTTTTTTATTTCTGCAAGGTTGATGGTGATGTTTCTTTTTATGAAGTTTTTTTACTTCTTAGAAATTCCACAATTTTGAATTGCAGTTCCCACTTTGTCCTCAATGTGCTTATATATAAAGTTGTTTGTTTATTTGTTTTTTATTTTAATTGGCGGGAAGAAGGCTCTTCTTCACTTTTGATTTTGTTATTTAATTTTATGGCATTGTGATTACAGTATGTTATTTACACTAATTCTACTTTGTGAAACTTATTGAGGTTTCTTTGTGATTTAATATATAGCCAATCCTTGTGACTGTTCTACGTACGCTTGAGAAGAATGTGTATCTCTATTAGAGTGCTGTCAAGTTTGATGTAGAGCCATTAGATGCACCTTATTAAGTTCTCTCATATCCCAGCTAACATCGTGTTGACATGGCCTGTCTTGGACCAAATGTTAAAGTCTCATGACAATAGCATGCTTCAATTTCTACCTGTGTCTCTTGTTTCTGCTTTAAGAGGTTAGTTTCTGCTTTAAGAGGTTAGTTATTTGGGTAGGTACTCATGCCTGGCATATCTTCATTGTAAATTGTAGCCTTTAACATTTAAAAGTAGACAATTTTTGTTTGTCTGTTATCGTGTTGCTGTTCTGCAAGTTTTTTGAAACTAAATTCTACCTTGTGTTATATCAGAATCTCTTGTTTCTATTCTCTGGAAATACATTTACTCATCTCTATTTTCAGCCTTTCTGAATCACATTGTTTCAGGTATGCTTCTTCTATATGGCACCAAATTGATTTTTGTGTTGTGAGCCAGTACAATTTTTTTTTTTTGACACAAGGTCTATTTCTGTCACCCAGGCTGGAGTGCAGTGTCCCAGTCTTGGTTCACTGCAGCCTTGACCTCCCCAGTTCAAGGGATCCTCCTGCCTAAGCTTCCAAAGTAGCTGGGACTACACGTGCACACCGCCGCACCCAGCTAATGTTTTTTATTTTTAGCAGAGACAAAGTCTCCCTGTGTTGCCCAGGCTGGTTTCCAACTCCTAAACTCAAGCAAGCCTTCTGCCTCAGCCTCCCAGAGCACTGGGATTACAGGTATGAGCCACTGCACCTGGCCTGGAAATTCTTTTTCTTTTAGTGGAGAAACACAAATTCATTGTATTTATTAATATAGCCAACATGTTTCATCTCAACTTTGCCATCTTTTTAGTCATTTATTTATTGGTGTATTTTGTTCTATTTACTCCTTTTGTTTTTCTTTTTTATGTCTTTTTACATGTTATGTGCTTAAGCTTTTTATGTGTTTCATTTTTCTTTTTTAATGTTTTAAATTGCTAGGGAAGAGTGGAGTTTTGAAGGTTTGTGTTTTTGTTCTACTAGGTTCCCCTGTACTAATATCATTCTAAAAATTTATTTCTCTTTTTCCTTATTTGTTTTTCTACTATTTGGTTTGTCAGCTTCAAAAGATGTTATTTCACATCTACCTGTTAGCATCTAGAAATCAATGAACTTATTTCACTTTCTTCTTTCTCTTCACATTTTAGATTATTACTTTATTAGAACTCATAATTTTTATTTAGCGTTTTTCTACTCTTACAGTATTTATTAATTTCAATATTGCTCCTCTGTTGTCTTTCTTCATATCTGAAGTTGAGAACGCTGATGCCAGCACAATTTTCTTTTCTTTGTAAACGGCTTGGAGTATTGTATTGAACACTTAATGGATTTTTTTTCCTTTGTAAGATTGTTTTATTAAGACAGTTGAGAACTGATCGTTTCAACCCAGTTCTTTTAGTTACGTGATAGATCTTTGAAATAAAATGATTGTCTGTTTTTTGTTTCAGAAAGAGCTTTTGTGTCATGGCTTTTCATAAACATTAGTTGTTGCTGCTGTTCTTCTCCTTAGCCTTATTCTTCTACTTCAATTACAGTAAGTGAGAGTTTCTTTGCCTATTTATTTATAGCTGTTATTGTCTTTGTGACCCCATTTTTACCTCTTATTTTCATTTGATTTTTGTTCTCTGGCTATTTTCGTTCCTTTCTTCAGTTTCCTTGTTTTATTTTCAGGTGAATCCATTCTCTCGGTGAATCTTGTGATGAGTTTTTGTTTCTGAGGTGGTTCTTACTTACCTTTTCTGACAGTGGTCCATCATTCATTTCACAGAGGTCTGACTTTTGTCATTTTTGTTTAAATTTTTGTCCAGTTAGTCGCTTTGCCTTTAGTTTTCTGATTCAAGATATTTGCGTCCAATCTGAGAATTCTTTGTAAAGAATGCATAGATTGGATGAGGTGTTGATTTACCCTTTCCCCTGGTTAGTGGGGTTTTGATGGGGAGGGTAATGTCCTTGTCATTTCCCATTTTCCTCTCACAGTAGCATTGTATGGAGGTTGTCCGTTGTGCTGCGTTTCCCTAGGGGGTTTGATATTTTCCTGGGTCAGCAATAGCAGATGCAGCAGGCCGGAGTATTTAGGGGACGACATTTCTTAGTTCAAGATTCCGCTCATCCTTCACTATAATAACATGCAGTTTGTAGCTTTTGTTTTAATACAAATGTCTTTTTCATGAGGAACAATTGGGTGTTATTTTGATCCTGTGGTGATCTTTTGTTTATGTAAAAACTTTATGACTCTGAATTCCTTCTCTTTCCTGTTAAACCTCCAAAGAACACCT